GTATTTAAGATTTTGGGCCCTGATATCAAGGGAACCTGAGTTAGAACTCAGGCTCTGACCTGTACTTTGCCTGTTACTGTGTTAGCTTAAAACTCTAGGCACCTGATTCTTTAAGCACATAGCAATACCTCACTTCAGTATTTCCATTAGAGAGGAATTAGAGCTGCCTTACCAACCTAGTGTTTACCCAGGCAAAATAATTTTTTCTGCAAAATTTAAAAACTATCTGATACAAGACAGGCACAAAACAAAGAGTGGGGAGGGCTCAAGGAAGGAGCAAGGGGTGGAGATTCTCCCAGGCTTCTCTCCTGCATCCACAATTAGGTTGAGGATAGTAGATGTTCTTGGTTCCACGGCATGGTCCCCGTTGTAAAACTCTGATTTTCAGATTATCAGCTGCAGTTTACTACAAAGCAAGTCAGTGGCAGTATGAGGTGACCAGGGAGGGTGAGGGAGACAAACATCCCATCCTCAAACAATCTGAGCAGTAAGGGAATGTGTCTATCAACCCCTTCAATTCAAAGAAACTGATTAGGCCGGGCGCGGTGGCTCACGCCTGTAATCCTAGCACTCTGGGAGGCCGAGGCGGGTGGATTGCTGGAGGTCAGGAGTTCCAAACCAGCCTGAGCAAGAGCGAGACCCCATCTCTACTATAAATAGAAAGAAATTAATTGGCCAACTAATATATATAGAAAAAATTAGCCGGGCATGGTGGCGCATGCCTGTAGTACCAGCTACTCGGGAGGCTGAGGCAGGAGGATTGCTTGAGCCCAGGAGTTTGAGGTTGCTGTGAGCTAGGCTGACGCCATGGCACTCACTCTAGCCTGGGCAACAAGCGAGACTCTGTCTCAAAAAAAAAAGAAACTGATAAAACTTTAGGTGAGTCAAGTGCTGCCAATTGAGAATTTGCATAAATTAAGCCTAGAATTGGGGCTTCTACAATTCAACATGCCAATGCATGTGCCTGGATGAACTAGAAAAACACCTACTAGCCTTATTAAAATGAGAAAGGGAGAACCTCAGAAATGTTGCTCCCATGCTGTTCTGAAAACAGAACAGGTGACAAAGACTCATCCCGAGTGCTTGGTCTGCAAGTGCTTGGTCTGCTAGCTCCCAGGTAACCCCACAACAGTCAAGGAGATAAAGTGGGGAGTAGGAAGAAAAAAGGGACAGACAGGGGACTTGGAGATATTGATTCCAGTGTTGCTCTAAGAGCTTCTTGTGCGTTTACATGATCAATGAGCACAAGTCTTACCAAATGGTGCTGGAACAACTGGGTATCCATCCAAACAAAACTATTTTGAGACAAATCATAGATCTATACATAACAAGAAAAACAATAGAACAGAAATTCCAAAGATAAGGAGACAGAGGAAGGGCCTCCACAGCTGGGTGAGGCTCAGGGCCCAGGCTCCGGGGTTCAGAGAGCTGACAGTCAAAGACAGACCTGGACTCCCTTCTCGGTACATGGGACTGATAAATGTGCCTTCTGCAGACGGGATCAAAAGAAACAGTGCCCACAAAGCACTTAGTATAGTGCTGGCTCAATAAATGTTAGCTATTGTGATTATTTTCTCATAAAACACTGTACAGAAGGTACTTAGCTTGACTCACGTGGCATGGTGAGTCAGTGTCATAAAAGGATGTGAGCCAATGGCAACGTCACTGAAAACAACAATAATGTATATGATGTGAGCCTTGCCCCAGAAGAACAATCTGACCTTTGTAAAAATAAGAGAATACATGAAATTCATACAAAATAAGGAGTGGGTTTAACTTCACTTCTTTTGCAACAACACATGCCTGCAAATGGGCCGTTTTAAGTTGATTTTGCTACACATTTGCTTTTTGCATTCCTGAATGTAGTCACGCAAATTAGCCTAGACTCTCAACATCAAATTAGCTTATCTTCACAACTTCTGAGATGTGTATTAACCAAAAATGTTTCACCCACATCAGCAAACCTTTTAGACCTAACTTCCAGTCTGAAGGAAAGAGAGTGACTAGAGGCACAAGCTCAATGATACTTAGGAAGAGAACAAAAAATGCAGAACAAGGGACATTCTGCAGGACAATGGATTGGGTCTCTTTATTAAGTTGAGTATCATGAAAAGATATTTCAAAAGCTAGATTAAAACAGAGCCAAAGGATCCAATGTATCAACCAAATGCATGGTTGTGGACTGAATCCTAATTTGGATAATTTTAGGCACATTTTGGGGACAGTTTGAGGACAATTGAGATAACCAGAGAGTGGAAGATAAGATACTGACAGGATAAACATTCATTGACACAAAAAGGTAGCTGGCATTAACTTTACAGATGTTACAAATATCAAAATAGCACAGTCTCATTTGGTAAAAGTACACACACACAGACATCTGGAAGGAGAAATAACAAGGAATTAACAGCACTAATTTTGGGAAGGTCAGTATATAATGTTCTCTTTCTTTGTTTATTTTTTTTCTGTTTATATTTTTTCTGTTATTATTACAAAATAAACATATGTTGTAAAAATTTCAAAACATGTAATTTTTAATTTAAAAAAGGGGCCAATTCTTAAAAAAAAAAAAAAAAGCATGAAGAGGTGAAATAAAAATATAAGGGGGGAAATGGCCGGTATCAGCACCAGCACTGGGCCTCCTGATGCTGCGGTGCTCACTGTCATCTGGCCATGGCACTCAGTGGAGGAAACACACACCAGCGGGGTGGGTCACCGGGAGAGAGGAAATGCTTCAAGAAAAGTGTGGTCAGGCCGGGAGTGGTGGCTCACGCCTGCAGTCCCAGCTACTCTGGAGGCTGAGGCAGGAGGATTGCTTGAGCCCAGAAGTCTGAGACCAGCCTGGGCAACACAGTGAGACCTGTCTCTAAAATATATATATAAACTATATATATATATATAGTTTATAGTTTATGTATATATATATGTATATATGTATATAGTGCATTCAATTCAAATCTGTCCGCCACGAGGTCCATAAACTCCTAGAAGATCCAGAGACCCTGAGGTCTGAGGTCAAGTTCATACAGAATAGCAAGGAGTACATTCAAAAAAGCTTAAGAACCACTGCCCTAAAATGTTATCTGTGTCGCTTTTTAATAGTGGGTTCTTGAAAATGCTTTCAATTTCAAAACATGTCAGGGAGGAACAAGGTGGTGGCTAGACCCTGTGCCCAGAATGACATCTCTGCTCCTAGGTTAGGCTATCACTTTCTCCAGCTGGTAATGGCACTGGGTGTGCAGAATATTCAAGATCTCAAATTCAGAATAATAAATTTCTTAATAGGCTCATAAAGCCCCCAGACAGTGCCACCATCTGGGACATATAAGAGGGTAACCGTGCTTCACCCCAAAATACACTGGGACTTTTCCCCCTGCCTAGTCTCAGTCCTCAGCATTCCTTAAGAATCAGAGTGCAGTAGACAGCCTGATTTGGTGGGATACACTGACTACCCAGAGATCAAGGCACAAGAAATCGGGGGAAGTGCACGGAAAGAATAAGCAAATTTGTGTGTAGGTGAGGGAAAGGATTCTGGGCTTATCTTTGGAAGTTTCAATTCTGAGGACTAATTTCTGAGTAGCAGGCTGCAACCTCTGAAATGCCAGGAATTCAATAAATACACTACTGAAGACAATGAATGCCATATGTTTCTTGTTAAAAATGGATTCCAAGGGACCTTGATCAATAGACTAGATAGCAAAAGGGAAAGGAAGTCTGGGCTGCTGTAACAGTTGTTTTATTAAAAGCAACTTTGGTCAGATTCCCAGCAATGTAGTCTTTTAAAGAAACAGCCCATTAAGCTCAAAAAGTCACAGATTGAATTTCCACCCACCCCATAATCGCATTCAAAGACCTATTTCTTTCTTAGAGGCAGGTGCTTGCGTCTTAGCTCAGGCTGCAAGAAGTACCCTGTCTACAGGACAGGTTGGGCAGCATGCCCAGCAAGGGCAGGCTGTGTGTCATGAAGGGTGGATCCGGTTCCTACAGAGCCTGAGTCTGGGGAGGGCTAAGGCAGAACAGGAAGCTCGGCCTTGATCAGAGCATGCCACCCACGCTATTGCAAATCCGAAAGTGTTTTAACAAGTCAGCAGGTTACACTTATGGGAGTATGCATTTACCTTGAAATTCCTTAAAGTTAAGTGTGTTTCATAGGGTATTACCCATATTCCTATGCAAACTTTCCTTTCTGTATGGCTGGGAGCTATTTGGTTGCCCAGTTGTATGGAGTCCTGATAAAACGAAAATGCTGCAGTTGTCATGTCCTTAAAATATTCTGAGGAAGCAAGGTGAGAAATAGAGGTGAACATCTTCACCTGCCTGGCAAGAATAGTTGGGTAGGGAAGACTGGAAAAGGATACTTCACAGAACATAAAATAAAAATAGAATTTATCTCTGCTAAGGTGGAAAAGAGGCAAGATACTGCAATCAATTTAAGAGTGTCTGTTAAATTGTGTCTGTCTCTCATTGTGGGTATGAGAGAACCCTAAGTGTGATTGTCTAAACTGGAGCATTGAAAACATTGAGTATGGGATTAAGAGAGAATGACAAAAGCATTCAAAAAAGCCAGATAGGAGGAGTTTGGACAGCTCTTTAGGATCTCCTGAATGTTTTGAGATCAAATATAATATAGCTCTTTTGCTGGGTCACCTTCCTGCTGACCAGGAGGTAGGAAAAACCAACCTAGGAAGGAATGCAAAGATTGGCCGGCAGGGGTTCAGAGCTGGGGTCCTGTAGTTCTTCCAGCCCCAAGTACAAAAAGAGCTCAAGTTATTCTCACAGGGCACTGGGCACACAACCAAATGGCCATGATGGTTGCTGGACCTTCATTTCTTAAATTCTCTTAGAAGGCCTTCCAGGAAGGCCTTTCGGGGCCTTGCTTCTTTGCTGCCATGTATGCTGAAGGCTTCTCTGTGCTTCCTCGTTAGCATTTACACAGAACTCAAGAGACCTGAGGGGCAGCTTCTCTGGTGACACTTCAGAAATGCAAGCCACATACGTACCTCATCTCCATGCATATTTGCCACGTATTTGAACTCCGGAATCCCGACTCTGTGTGTCTTTGGAAATCGCCCCACAACAAGAACCCATAGGTTTCTACCTTTACAGGAAAGAAAAAGATAAAAAAAGAAGTTATCTTTTTTTTAAAATCCCTTACAGACATATCGCAGTAAGTTATCTTTTAAAATGACAAATGAACTCTGGGTGAATGAGAATAGGAAATAAACGATGCTGTTTTAACGTTTCATGGTGACTTAAATTCATGTGATTAACACTCCCGTGATTAAAATGTTCCTCATTCACTGCTAGAATTTAAGGAAACCCTTTCAATTAAGCAGAAATATTTAACTTCTCATTTTAGAATGTGATTTTTTTTTAAATTGAAGACTTACTAGGTGATAGATCTTATTCTTCCAAAATGTGTATATGCTTTGCGCTGAGATCCTAGAGCCTTATAGAAATGATGTTGCTAATTCACACAATTATACAAAATTAAGTTATAGTTGATGGTTGACTGGGAGGGTTTCCTAACTTGCAGTGCAAGGAAAGTGAAAAAAGCAATAGCAATAAAACATGTAACTCAGAGGGAGATTATTTTTAAAGTAAGAAATCCTGAATCTTGTATTTAAATGCAGATATGACATAGCCCCTTTGCAGCTTCCTTCATGTGCCTGAGTCCCGTCAAGCAAACTGGGAACCACAATCCATCCTAATAATGCAAGGAAAATTTCTAAGTCCTAGCTCTGCCACAGACAGTGTGATTTAGGTGAGAAAGGGCAGTATCTAAAGATCACTGAGGATGTGCTTTATGCGGATTAAATAGGTGCTGGTCTGGTTCACGTAATCTCAAGTAATCCCTTGTCATGATCCACTGAAACGGATTATTAACCAAGCTTTACAAATGAGAAAACTGATCTTTAAAAATGTTAAATAAACTGCTTATGACCACACAACCAGTAAGAAGCTGTGATTTGAGCCCCAGAGCCAAGAATTGAACCCTAGTCTATTTAACTTCAATTTTGGTGTTCCTCCCACTAAAAATATCTGCCTGTCTCTCAAAAGGCTTCGTTTCCTAAGCAGTAAAAATGAAGTCCCTTTCAATTCTAATTGGCACTTTTGGGGGGTAATTTTGTTTTTTTTTGTCTTGTTTTGTTTTTTTATGTTGTCCAGGCTGGATTCGCATTCCTGGGCTCAAGTAATCCTCCTGCCTCAGCCTGGCACTTTTAATATAGTTTAAAATTAGAGACTAAGGTGTGTTTGATATCTATCATGTACATACAAAGTTCAAATATCTGTGATAACTAAGACTTCTGTGGAATTTAAGAGCCCAGGAAAGGAATTTAACAGCAACTAATGGGCTAATATTGAGCAGATTTCTGCAGAATTTCAGATCTAGCTCCTTAAATCAGGCTGGGGATCTTTCAGTTGCCATGAGGGACCCAGGGAGAAGCAGATGTGGGACTTGTCTTTTCCAACATTTATTTATAATTTACTGTAACAATATTTTAGGGAAATTTGTTATGATAGGGTGATGCATTAAATTCAGTAACTGCAGGAATTCTCAGAAAATACCCACAAAATGCAGTTTGTGTGATGGATGCCCCTGGTCAGTGCAGAATTCTCAGTCATTCATACATCCATTTATTGACTACTATGATGGACAGGCATTGACCTGGATCGGACTGTACAAACATGTCACATACTCTGCTCAGTGAATTCCTAATCTAGTGGAGAATAGTAACACGGAAACACGTAATCACAGTGGAGTGTGACATATCACAGATAAGTGTTAAGAGTGCAGTTGTGAGTGCAGAATAAAAGAAGAAATGGTTGATTTTTTCCAAGGAGGAAGATCATGAAAAGCTTCATGGATGTAGGGTTTTTATATAATAGATGACGCTTGTGAACAGGGTTCTGAAGCATGATCCCGAGTTTGCCATGTGGACAAGTACCCTCTAGCTGCTGGTACCCTACAGGAGCATTTGATTAACCAGAACCCTCCATCTCCCAATGTTATCAATTCTTTGTCTTCTGGAGCTTCACTTCTATACAGTTAACGTTTTCATGTGACACAAGGAACTTTTCACAAGTAAGCTGTTAAACCCAGCTTTTTAGGTTTGCTTCTGGGGAATTCTTTTCTATAACTATAAATGCTTTTAAAGCTAGAATAATCACAGATTTGTACAGAATATGGTCTAGTCCCCTCGCATGCAAGCAAAAAGTTTAATATCTTCTCAATATTTACCAATTGTTATTTACAACTCTGCATCTGCAACAGCTGGCCTGTTACATAAAGGATAGTGTAAGACGACAAACACCTGACTTGCTATGGATAGCCAATATTTTTTAGTTTAAGGATGGAAGGAAATCAAACTGATAAAATCTAAGGGAAGAAGTACTTTGATGGATAACTCAATCTCAATTCTGGCATGAATGGCCCCTAAGTGAACTGCAAGATGAGAAATTTACCTTGCATGACCTCAAAGGCACAAAGTCTGAGAATGAAAACCAACCAATAGGTCTGAAGAACACACACAATCCTTTTGGAATGACAAGCCTCTTGAAGAGTTTTAACCACCCTCTCCAGCTAACACGGCTATCTCTGGCCTAGACCAGAGTAAATGCACAAAGGACAAACTATTTACTTTTCACAACATGATTGTCAAGGTAAGAGTAATTTAAACAAGCTTTTTTTTTTTTTCTATCAAGGTGGGAAAGACTACCTTTATTCTCAAAAGTTCTTGTTAATAACAGGTGTGCTAAAGAGTTCTGAAGTCCTCAGCTTCTCCCTTTCATACAAAGTGAACGAAATTTGGTTTCTAGATATCTCAGTATCTGCATTTAGCAACACACGTAGGGTTTGACACAAATCTGGGGTCTCTGATATGGGTACTCAACTGGGTTTGTTTGAAGGATCAGGAAAAGTTTTACAATTTAGAAGGATTCACTAAGATCTATAAGACAAGAAAACAGACAAGTGCTACAAAGTACTATAGGAGTTCAGGAGAAAGTAGGAGGAGAAGGTTGGAAAATCAAGTATAACTTCAATAGGTAAAAATGGGAGAAGTGTGGCCGGGCGCGGTGGCTCACGCCTGTAACCCTAGCACTCTAGAAGGCCGAGGCAGGTGGATTGCTTGAGCTCAGGAGTTCAAGACCAGCCTAAGCAAGAGTGAGACCCCGTCTCTACTAAAAAATAAAAAAAGAAAGAAAGAAATTAGCTGGACAACTAAAAATATATAGAAAAAATTAGCCAGGCATGGTGGCACATGCCTGTAGTCCCAGCTACTCAGGAGGCTGAGGCAGTAGGATTGCTTGAGCCCAGGAGTTTGAGGTTGCTGTGAGCTAGGCTGACATCATGGCACTCACTCTAGCCTGGGCAACAGAGTGAGACTCTGTCTCAAAAAAAAAAAAAAAAATTGGGAGAAGTGTCTTTTCCACAAAAGAATCACCGGGGATCCCCATAAAAATGCCAGTTCCTGAGCCCCAGCCTCCATCCCCTAAGTCCAACTCTAGAGGTTAAGCTTGAAACCAGCATTTAACAAGCTCCTTTGGTGATTGTGAGGCTTGTAAAGTTTGAAAGTCACTGAGACTGAGGTAGTGAATGTCCAGACAGATTTGGGAGATAGTCGGTCTTCATATATAAAGCCATCTCATTTTACATATAATCCTGAACATGTTCCTATGTTGAGAAATATACTTCTACTATACTGTTTTATTTTATTTATTTATTTATCTATTTATTTATTTTTAGGCACAGTCTCACTTTGTTGCCCAGGCTAGCGTGAGTGCCATGGCATCAGCCTAGCTCACAGCAACCTCAAACTCCTGGGCTCAAGTGATCTTCCTGCCTCAGCCTCCTGAGTAGCTGGGACTACAGGCATGTGCCACTATGCCCAGCTAATTTTTTCTATATATATTTTTAGTTGTCCAGCTAATTTCTTTCTATTTTTTTTTTAGTAGAGACAGGGGTCTTGCTCTTGTTCAGGCTGGTCCAATCCTCCCGCCTCAGCCTCCCAAAGTGTTAGGATTACAGGTGTCAGCCACCATGCCTGGCCCTTACTATACTGCTTTAAATGGCTGATTAATATTTTATTATATGAATATGCTACCACTTATTCAACCAATTATCTGTTGTTAGGTGTCCAACAATAAGTAAATTTTTGTAAATTCCAGCATATCCACAAAAATTATGTACAGAATTTATAGCACTAAAAGTATTTTATAAAAGCCAGGCATGATGGTGAACACCTATAGCCCCAGCTACTCCGGGGTTGATGCAGGAGGATCGCTTGAACCCAGGAGTTTAGGCTGTAATGTGCCATGGTCACACCTGCAACTGGTCACTGCTCTCCAGTCTGGACAACATAATGAGACCCAACCTCTAAAATAAAAAATTATACTATGTGCCAGGCACTATGCTAAGTACTTTATGTTATTGGATCTTCACAATACCTCTATGTGATGGATGCTATCCATAATTTTTAGTCGAGGAAACTGAATTAAGTGGCAGAGCCAGGGTTCAAACCCAGGTCTGTCTGATTCTAAAATTTGTGCTCTTCTATGGACCTGAGGCTGCTTCAATCTCCCTGAAAGTACTACATAGGCCAAAGCCAACCTTATTCTGGGGAAAAAGTTCCAGGCAGTTCTTTCAGCAACACGTTGCTATGGTTTGCACCTGCAAGATACAGCCTGCTACCTGGCTGTGACTGATTGATCCAGGGCAAGACAACTGAATCGAAGGCCACCTTCTAGGGACATTCCATTCTGGGTGTTGACATAACAAATTCGTCAGATTATGTCTACATTGAGAGTTCAGTAGGACATGCCCAGAGAGAAGAAGAGACCCTGGGTGGCCCAGTTACTGGAGCAGAGCTGCAAGATGATGAAGCACGTTCCAGTTTCTCATGAAGCTTGTTGTATGTATGGTCTGATGCATAAAGTTCTGGTATCCAGAGTAATGGATCAGCTGCCGGTTTCCTGGACTGGCACATTTCTCCGTGTATCCTTACAAGACACTTTGACCTAAGTCAAAGCTTGTGACAGCTTGCACAAGGCCCTGAGTTTCAGTGTCCTCACCCATGAGTGGCAATAATAGCCTGA